CATGAGCATGGGAAAGGCCAGTAGTCAGGGAAAGAATAGGCCGTCTGAACTCAGGGACAGACAACACAAGAAATAGGGTGGTCCAAATGTGATACAGTTTTAGGCAGAGGCCCATCCCCACCCTAGATAATGGATGACTACTCTTTCCTCCACCTCTTTATTTTCTGGAGAAAATGAACCAAAGGCTCTGGACTTAAGAGCATCACACATAAAGGAGCCCTTTGGTGAGATGCTAGAATGGTGGCAGGGGAATTAGGTAAAACTCTACAGAATGAACAGAAGGACCCAGGCCCTTTCCCATCACCAGCCCACACTCCCAGCTCTAGAATGACAGCAGGTAGGCTTACAACCCTGAACCCACCCCAATACAGCCACAGCCAAGAGACAGGAGAACCCTGCTCCTGAGGAGCCAAAGCACCTCAGAGGTAAGACCTCAGGTTCTGACACCTAGCACCCCAATGAAAATGCCAGTTCCAGCCCTCCCGTTACCCAACAGGGAGATCCACCAAATGACAAGCTCTGCCATCAGACACAGAACACCTACTCAGCTTTTTAAATTCGTGTTCTTCAACACTAAGAGAAGGCTAAGGATCACCAAAATGTAAGGGAAACTTCCAACATAATTGAGACAGCAAAATAGACAGCAGGTATTCAGAGGACACAGACAATTCAGGAAGGAAAAGAAACTCTCAATCATGCTGGAGAAGTAACTGAAGATATTCCACCCATGAAGCAAGAGGACTAGAAGCAAGAAACCATCAAAAATCAAAGAAAACAAAGATAATGGAAATAAGACATTTATGAATTCCAGGAAAATCAATGCTGTACAAAAGAGGAAATCTCCTCATGACACACCACTTGTGTCTCAGCAGTTAATAACACTGTCGTAATCAAACACGAGAAATATCAAAGAAGGATTTGACCACAATATCTGAAAGGAAAGCTGCACTCCTCATTTACTAAGAGAGGGAGTCATAAATAATGTCCCAGTTTGGTTAATTTATACATTATGTCTTAAAAATATAGAGGTGAATACCAGAAGAGACAGCTAAGAAGAATTTAAAATTATTGGCCTAGGAAGCAGGATTGGTCAGGAGACTGTTGGTTTTTTGCTTCTAACTTCTTAATTCTATTTGTTTTCCAACTGTAATAAAAATAATTCGATAGAAGTGGAAATTATTCTTAATTTATTAGTGATGACTGATAACAAGAGCTAGCTTTCAGTGAGCACTTACTGTTGGCCAGGCATCGAGCTGAGAGCTTTACGCATGTTACTCATACTATCCTTGCCTGTAGCTTCTCAAGTGATTCTTGTTGCTACCGACTAAATATTTGGGTCCCTGCAACATCCACAGGTTGAAGACGAACCCTCAGTGTGATGGTATTTGGAGGTTGGGCCTTTGGGAAGTGATTAGGTCATGAGGGGGGAGCCCTCATGAATGGGATCGGTGCCCTTATAAGAGGGACTCTAGAGAGATGCCTCACCCCTGCCACCACATGAGGACACAGGGAAAAAGACAGCCACTTATGAACCAGGAAGTGGAGCCTCACAAGACACCAAATCTGCAGGTACCTTGATCCTCAACTGCAGAACTGTAAGCAATAAACTTCTGTTGCTTCTAAGCCACCCAGTCTACACTATTCTATTTCAGTAGCCCGAAGGGACTAAGACACTATTATCATCACCCTATCTTAACAGATGAGGATACTGAGCCTTACAGTTAAGCAAGTGGCCAAGCAGAATGAAGATGCAAATTCAGATTTAACTCAGGAATCCGGGCTCCTAGTCTATACTGCCCTTAAATTTTTAAAACACATTATTTCCTATGCCATTCTAAAAGAAGGCACTAAAAGAAGCTATGTATCAGTACATGCATCACCCAGACACACATCTACTGATGAGAAAAAGATTCTTGAGACAAGTGACCATATTCTGTCATCTACATAAGCTCTGATTGGCATTCATCTTTTTTTTTTTTTCCTGATGTTCTAGGTTGGCTAAGTGAAATTAAAGCTTTTCTTTTTCAAATTTCAAGTGGAACATTTTATAAGATGAAACTCCACTAAAAACCAAAAGGAAATAGTGCTTGTTGACAGCAAACACAAAAATCTAGGCACTGGAGTTCTGTCCAATGAGTAGATCCTAACAAACCCAAATGTATAAAAGTTATGATTTTCTTAACACTCCAAGAAGAATTTTCCACCTTCTTTTAGAAAGCATGTAGGAAATCAACCCTCAGATCCACTGCTGGTGAAGGGGCAAATTAATACAACACCTGGGGAGTAAATTTGGCAATATTCATTGCAATCTCACTTCTGGGAATTTATCCTCCAAATACATGGCACACAGGAGAAGTGACATATGCATGAAGTTATTTATTGCAGCATGATTTTTAACAACTAAAGATGGGAAACTGCCTTTCAAATGGGGACTGGTTAACTTACAAATAGAATTAAATGGAATGTTATAGGCAAATAAAAGTGTTTAAAGGAATGTCTACAATAGCCAAACTATGGAAAGAGCCATCAACAGATGAATGGATAAAGATGTGGTATATACACACACACACACACACACACACACACACACACACACACACACACACA